TCGATCCGGCTTCCTTCGGAATGCCGCCGCCTCCGGCACCAAACTTGGACAGCTCCGCCACCCCTATGGGAATCCCCTCCCCCACTCCCGCCCGGGCCGCCCCTTCCCTCCGCACCTCCTCCGAGGCTGGGTTTTCCCGGCCTCGGAGAGGCTTAGAAGAGGTTGGCGGTGTGCCTGCGATCCCGGAGAGGGACAACTCGGAGGCCCGGGTCTCCCATCTAGTCTTAAAGTTGAAAAGTGATGGGAGGGGGCGTGTGGGAGAGCAGGGAGCCGGAAAGAAAGATGGCAGTTCCGGGGCCCGGGCCAGGTAGGGGGGCGCCCGGCACGAAGGCGGTCACCCATCTACGCCCGAGGAGTTCGCGGGAGGAGGGGACCCGGGCCCCACATTACCATTTTGATTGCTTCGATGCCATTTTTGGAGGGGGAGGGGTCGGAAGACCCTTCTCTGCCGAGCACAAAGATGTTTAATCACCGTGCAGAATCAAATCAAATACTTTCTTTAAAAAAAATTACCACCGAATCTGGTATAGTAAGATCGCTGAGTTTTTACGAAGCCTATTTTTACTGGGTGAAACGGCAAGTTGTTGACTATGCTCAGAGTAGATTTGAGAGAGAGAAAGGGACTCCAGTAACCCCGCAGCTCTCCTTGCAACAATGTATTTTTCTGTTCGCCTTGCGTGCAATAGTTTCACTATGTGGAGCGGCTGTTCTGAGCTCAGGTTTGATCATTTCTTCTGTATGGTAGTCAACTGTTTCAAGGCTGTTTAAATTTTTATGATGATAGTAGATGAGTAGCTATTTATTATCCAACATGCCGGCATTTACATAAGGCTGAAAGGAACATTTGAAAACACTGTTTGAAGGTGGAAGGGAAGGATCCCGCTGCTCCCGAGGCTGCCTTCGCCTTTAAATTTGAACTCAAGAAGGCTGGCTGCAGACGAGGCTCCCTCCATCTTGTGTGTGTGTGTGTGTGTGTGTGTGTGTGTGTGTGTGTGTGAGAGAGAGAGAGAGAGAGAGAGAGAGAGAGAGAGAGAGGGACAGAGTGTTTAACGGGAAAGAAAGGAAACAAGAAAACTTTTGTCCTCTGGCCTTTTAAAAATGTTTCTCCTTTAGATGACTAAAAATAACATCTGGTAACAGAGTGTTTCGGGAAAGAAAGGAAACAAGAAAACTTTTGTCCTCTGGCCTTTTAAAAATGTTTCTCCTTTAGATGACTAAAAATAACATCTGGTAGGCAGCCAGGTTTTGGCCTGGCCAACGGAACTTGTGTTTGTAACTACAAGTGTGTTGCTTTTCCGGTTTCCTTTGTGGCATTTTATATAACAAGGGCTCATAAAAGAGGGAAGGGTGGGGGTTGCGTCAGGGTTCAGCATGCTAATCAAGCCGCCTGTCTCCTCCAAGCGGCTCTCTCCAAGCGTGTTGGCATCTTTCAGAGATCACACATGCGATGGGTTAGGTGGGCTTAATATTCGCCCCTCTGTCTCCCCTTGGGAGACTCTAGTGGCCATTGGCTTGGCTGGAGAAAGGTCAGTGGGGTTGGAGGTGACTCTGGGCAGAAGTGGGTTGTGAAGAGGCCTGTGGGGGCACCCCAAAACTGGCCCAGGAGGTGCTGAGCTGGGGGAGTGAGACTGAAAAAGCTTGGATGTCAGAGTCTTTTTTTCCCCCCTTTTAAAACTTAACAGACTATGAAAAGATTATAATTCTTTTACAGGGTTACTTGGGGAAAAGTCTCACACATCTCCACCCCCGGGATTTGTGTGTGTATTGTGCCATCCCCGGTTTATATCAGATCTCAAGGTTAAGTTTCAATTAAAAGTGCACACGAGGGTGATGAACTGGATAGTAAAATGAGTGGATGATCCCATTATCTGAGTTGGTTAGAGACATTAACAGCGGCAGAAGCGTATCTTTCAGGGCCCAGCCGTCAATTTTCACGCATGCCTTTGGCGCTGGAATTTTGTTACTTTTAGAAATACAGCTAAGTGTTTCAAGAAGTTGGAGAAGTAGATAGCGTGTTGGTCAGAGGTAGGTAGATAAATACATTTTATGTCTAGCTTTTCTCCCGTCATTGGGAGACCGTGGGTTAAACACAGAACTACCTGCCTTAGGATCTTGCTATTTGGAAAAGGAGTTCATATTTTTCCCTTGAAAAAACAAACAAATGGGGAGTAGGTCTGAGCTGGGTTGTGGCCCCCATGGGGACCAGCCAGGCTGCCCCCAGGGTTGTCCACCTCTCTGTGCCGGATTGTGGATGTGGTGCGGACTGCACCCCTCTTTTTCAACAAGATATGATGTGTGAAGACTCCATTAGCTGCTCCAGTGGTTTTACATCATGAATTTGCAGCACATGCAGAGAGGCAGTAACATTTTTATCTAAATCGTCAAGCAACAAGCACTTCTGTGTAAATAACAGAGCCATCATAAATACCGGGGAACCCTCCCACCCCAGCTCTCCGGGCAGCGCCTCGGTACCTCCAGATCTGGCTGTGCAAATCCAGCATGAACTGTGCTGGGAGGACCTGGTGTTTGAACTCTCGCCTGTGCTGGCATCGACTCGCCGGAGTGTCCTGAGCGGTGACCCTGAGGCCTTGCGTGCTGCCCGATCCATGCATTTGATGGACTCTGGGTTCCGAGGGGCTGTCCTCAGGAGCAGCAATAAAAATCTGTCTTCTTGAAAGATAGCACTTATGTGGCCCTCACCCGGTGCCATGTTGTGTCCTCAGCCCGATTCCCTGGACACCAGTGGGACCCACCTCCACCAGACGAAGTGGGTGGTGCCTTTATTCTGAGCGGGCCTCCCCGCTGCAGGCTGTCTGTCTTCCCTTCGTCTCTGCCAGGAAGGTGCGCAGTCATTTTCCTCACCTGGAGTTCCAGCCCTTCTTCCAGAAGCAGGACCAGTATAGATTCAAGAGCAAAACAATGCCAGCCCTCACTTCGGGGTGGATGGCAGGACCCCAAGCCCGCCTTGAGCCCTCTTGGTCCCCACTTCCTCTGTCCTCCACTGCCCTGGGAAGATGGCAGCGGCCCCCTCGTGCCTGAAGGAGATGCAGCTTTGTTGAGGCAGTGTTGTGGTCCCGTGCCCACTGACAGTGTGCCGCTCCTGATGGTCTTGTACACGCCCTGTTCTGGGCCCACGGCCTCCATCCATCTTAGAACATTTGCATCGCCTCAGAAAGATACCCTCTGGCTGTCACTTGGTCCCCAGCCCTGAACAACTGCTTACCTCCTCTCCAGATTACTGCTCTAGACTTTGACCTGAATGGAATCCTTGCTGTTCACGCACATCCTTTTGTGCTTGAATGTGGAATTTCCAGGTTCACTCAGGCTGCACGCGCATCAGTACTGACTTCATTCAGGCTTCCCCTGAGTAGTCTCTTGTGTGGATGGAGTGTGCTTTGTGTAACCCTTCACCTACTGGTGGGAAGGACGAGGTCTCCATTTTCTGGCTCTCAGGAGCAGTGTTCTGTGTCTCTCTTGTGCTCTGGTACTCCTTTGCCAGAGTGTCTTAAAACTGGAGCACAGTCACAGTGCCCCTGGCTCACAACCTTCAGGTGCGTCCACCTCACCCCTGGCCCTGCCCCTGTGGCCCCTTGGTTAGCAGCTCCTCTGCCACCCTGAGCATTTCCCTGCCTCTGAGAGTAACGGCCTTGTCTGTCTTGATCTGTCACACTGTTGACTACCTTTTTGTTGTTTTTTTGTGGTGGCGGACCTGCAGCACACACGCCACAGTGGGCTGTGTGTATCACTGAAAAGGTTCTCCGTCATTGTGCTGGACATAAGCTCCATGCCAGGGGTCTGTGAGAATGAGCAGTGATGGTCTCGACCCCGGGGACCCCTAGCCGTGGCAGGCAGGCCATGAACGGTAGCCCAGAGAACTGTGTCTTTGAAGTGAGCAGCC